ATCTCTCTCTCAATTTCATATCCTGTTCTGCCATTTGGCCAGGATCCAATAGGCACTATTAATCCTCTAGTACTTTGAGTAAACCAAAAGCTCCCACTGTCAGTAGATTATTCAACTGTGGCAATGTTACAATTGAGACCAATCCTGCTTCACCCTGAATCAGGTTCCTATTTGCAGTGTAAAAAGTAACCGAGAGCAGGAACCAGAATGAAACCCCACCCCCCCAAACACACCTATAATCCAGAAAACCTGTAAATGGAAGCATTACCACTCCAGTTGAAATAGTTTGGAGAGGCAAGATCAGGGCCAGATTTTAATTCCATGGGATAGATAGGTCTGATCTTGCTGCTACTGGCAAAAAATGGAGGCAGAGGTAATGGTCAATATAGCTTGTGGAAGGCTAGGCAAAAGTGGACATTGGACCACTGGAAAATGATGCTGGAGCAGCAGTACTATTACAAAGAAAAGGCTGAGGAACCAAATAAGTTCTTTGCGTCAGTCTTCAGTGGAAGACATGAGTAATATCCCAAAAATTCAGAAGTTGGGGGCAGAGGTGAGTATGGTGGCCATCACCTCGGGTGGCTAAACCACCTGGAGCAGATAGACCACACCCCAGAGTTCTGAAGGAGAGCATGAGAGCACGAGAGCCAAAGATTACAGGGAGAAAGTGGGAGAACAGGTTTAAGGAACTTATCAGCTGTGATTGAATCGTGCAGCAAACTTGATGGGGTGAATGGCCTAATTTCTGCTCCTACGTCTTATGGTAGAAGAAGAGAGAAGTTTGAGGAGAGGTGTCAGTGTGAGTGCAGAGTGGAAAATTTAAATAATAGAGTTTCTTCGCTTTGACTGAAGGATGGTGTGCCACAAGAATGGATACCCATTTTCTTTGCAGGTTTCAGTTTTACTCTTGTTTTTGACTTCAAATTGTGGCTGTTCATCACCTGTCATTCAAATCTCCTCTCCACACATTTTCAGTTTCTTTACTTGTCGTATTGCCTTTTTCTGCCCTTGCTCAACCAACATTCTTGGTGTTTTAGTCTGTCATCTACACCTTTCACCTCAAAGACTTTCCCTCTTGTCCTTTTCAATACCTCACACCTTCAGTTGCTCAAAACTGATTGCATTTTTAGTTTTTCCTAGTTTGATGCAAAGTAATTGACCCGATTTGTGAATTCTTGATCCTCCCTCCACATCTGTTGCCTGAGGGTACATTTGCAATAGTATATCCAGTATGTGCTGGAGATTGTTTGATAAAACAAAGCAACTTAGACTTACAGAGGTCAATGTCTTTAGGTTCATAGGCATATTTACGGTTACTGTAATTCCCTTTGATATCTGCCCTCACTGTTAAGGAAGGATCTGTATTGAAAGAAAACAAAAAGGCACTCAATACACAACTACACAAACTAAATATCTGGAATACTAACCAAATAATTATATTCTTCAAAGATACAGATATTGAAATTCTTACCGACAAACATTATCCTCGGAACATACTGTCCGTCAGGTGTCAAATTGCTGTCATTTGTCTCAAACTATAATGAAGAAAATTATTTAGTTGCAGTGCTAGCAAAAAAGCTACCATTGCATTTAGCAATGCCAATCAGTAAACTCAAACAATGCTAAAAAGATGCATAGTTAAAAATAAACCAGAAGTGAACATGTATATGCTTAACATGAACCTGCTCTTTCACCAAGGTGCTGGTGTAAAATGGGAAAAAAAAAATACAGCACAATTAAGTAGCATCCATTGTTTTCTTTCATTTAGAAAATATCCTAACTGAAAATGCCACTCTCACATGAAAGTCACATTTGATATACTATAGTCTAAGATTCCAGAGAGTGTCCTGAAGATTCTGACATGCAGTTACTACTGTTAGAATATGGTGCTATAACGTATGAACTAGTCAATATTTAGAGAACAAGACCATTCTATTAAAATAATGGCTGGCTCTTGACTTTACTTTGTTTGCCTTCACATCTTGCACCATTCCCACAGGCATTTGCTAAAAAGTATATGTGGAGCAGTATTACACTGAATCAGACAAGGGGAATTTTGAAATTGCCCAAACATCTTGCACCTTTTCTTATCAAGATGAGAATGAGGTTTTGGTTTCTAAAGGAAGTGTCAGAAAGGTTTATCATTAGGACTTTTGATAATTAAGATGATCCTTGAATGAGTTGTTGAGCCATGCTCCAACCCCAGTGCTAACTCCCTATCACAGGTTGAATGACAGACATTAGATCTCCTGGTATAACTGGGTGTTATTTGTTTTGCAGGTATCTCTTGATCTCAGTTTATGGGAGCTGAACATGTCCCACACATGGCATTCTTTAAACAGACATTAATAATGTGCAAATTGGCTCCATTTTTATTCATCTTGCTACTGTCATATACAAAAATCTCCTGCAAGGAACTTGATATTCATTGTGAACAGGTGGCATGGTGGCTCAGTGGTGAGCACTGCTGCCTCTCAGCGCCAGGGACCCGGGTTCAATTCCACCCTTGGGTGACTGTGGAGTTTGCACATTCTCCCCATGTCTGTGTAGGTTTCCTCCGGGTGGTCCGGTTTCCTCCCACAATCCAAAAAAATGTGCAGGTTAGGTGGATTGGCCATGCTAAATTGGCTATAGTTTTCAGGGATATGTAGATTAAGGGGATGGGTCTGGGTGGGATCCTCCGAGTGTCAGTGTGGACTTGTTGGGCCAAAGGGCCTGTTTCTACACTGTAGAGATTCTACTTAGGCACCAATGACATAGGTAGGAAAAGGGATGGGGATGTAAGGCAGAAATTCAAGGAGCTAGGGTGGAAGCTTAGAGCTAGAACAAACAGAGTTGTTATCTCTGGTTTGTTACCCGTGCCACGTGCTAGCGAGGTGAGGAATAGGGAGAGAGAGCAGTTGAACACGTGGCTACAGGGATGGTGCAGGACGGAGGGATTCAGATACCTGGATAATTGGGGCTCATTCTGGGGTAGGTGGGACCTCTACAAACGGGATGGTCTACATCTGAACCAGAGGGGTACCAATATCCTGGGGGAAACTTGCTAATGCTCTTCAAAAGGGTTTAAACTAATTCAGCAGGGGGATGGGAACCCGAATTGTAGCTCCAGTGTACAGGAGGTTGAGAGTAGTGAGGCCATGAATAAGGTTTCAAGGTCGCAGGAGTGTACCGGCAGGCAGGAAGATGGTTTGAAGTGTGTCTACTTCAATGCCAGGAGCATCTGGAATAAGGTGGGTGAACTTGCAGCACAGGTTGGTACCTGGGACTTCGATGTTGTGGCCATTTCGGAGACATGGCTAGAGCAGGGACAGGAATGGTTGTTGCAGGTTCCAAGGTTTAGATGTTTCAGTAAGATCAGGGAAGGTGGTAAAAGAGGGGGAGGTGTGGCATTGTTAGTCAAGGACAGTATTACGGTGGCAGAAAAGACGTTTGATGAGGACTCGTCCACTGAGGTAGTATGGGCTGAGGTTAGAAACAGGAAAGGAGAGGTCACCCTGTTGGGAGTTTTCTATAGGCCTCCGAAAAGTTCCAGAGATGTAGAGGAAAAGATTGCAAAGATGATTCTGGATAGGAGCAAAAGTAACAGGGTAGTTGTTATGGGGGACTTTAACTTTCCAAATATTGACTGGAAACACTATAGTTAGAGTACTTTAGATGGGTCAGTTTCTGTCCAATGTGTGCAGGAGGGTTTCCTGACACAGTATGTCGATAGGCCAACAAGAGGTGAGGCCACATTGGATTTGGTACTGGGTAATGAAACAGGCCAGGTGTTAGATTTGGAGGTAGGTGAGCACTTTGGTGCTAGTGATCATAATTTGGTTATGTTTACTTTAGCGATGGAAAGGGATAGGTATATACTGCAGGGCAAGAGTTATAGCTGGGGGAAGGCAATTAGGCAAGATTTAGGATGCATAGGATGGAGAAGGAAACTGCAGGGGCTGGGCACAATTGAAATGTGGAGCTTGTTCAAGGAACAGCTACTGCGTGTCCTTGAGAAGTATGTACCTGTCAGGCAGGGAGGAAGTGGTCCAGCGAGGGAACCGTGGTTTACTGAAGAAGTTGAATCTCTTGTCAAGTGGAAGGAGGCGGCTTATGTAGAGGTGAGGTGTGAAGGCTCAGTTAGGGCGCTTGAGAGTTGCAAGTTAGCCAGGAAGGACCTAAAGGGAGAGCTAAGAAGAGCCAGGAGGGGACATGAGAAGTCTTTAGCAGGTGGGATCAAGGAAAACCCTAAAGCTTTCTATAGGTATGTCAGGAATAAAAGAATGACTAGAGTAAGATTAGAGCCAGTCAAGGACACTAGTGGGAAGTTGTGCGTGGAGTCTGAAGAGATAGGAGAGGCGCTTAATGCATATTTTTCGTCAGTATTCACACCAGAAAAAGACAATGTTGTCAAGGAGAATACTGAGATACAGGCTATTAGACGAGATGGGATTGAGGTTCATAAGGAGGTGTTAGCAATTCTGGAAGGTGTGAAAATAGATAAGTCTCCTGGGCAGGATGGGATTTATCCTAAGATTCTCTGGGAAGCTAGAGAGGAGATTGCAGAGCCTTTGGCTTTGATCTTTATGTCGTCATTGTCTACAGGAACAGTGCCAGAAGACTGGAGGATAGCAAACGTTGTCCTCTTGTTCAAGAAGGGGAGTAGAGACAACCCTGGTAATTATAGACCAGTGGGTTGTGGGTAAAATGTTGGAAAGGATTATAAGAGATAGGATTTATAATCATCTAGAAAGGAATAATTTGATTAGGGATAGTCAACGTGGTTTTGTGAAGGGTAGGTTGTGCCTCACAAACCTTATTGAGTTCTTTGAGAAGGTGACCAAACAGGTGGATGAGGGTAAAGCGGTTGATGTGGTGTATATGGATTTCAGTAAAGCGTTCGATAAGGTTCCCCACGGTAGGCTATTGCAGAAAATACGGAGGCATGGGATTGAGGGTGATTTAGCGGTTTGGATCAGAAATTGGCTAGCTGTAAGACGACAGAGGGTGGTGGTTGATGGGAAATGTTCATCCTGGGGTTCAGTTACTAGTGGTGTACCTCAAGGATCTGTTTTGGGGCCACTGCTGTTTATCATTTTTATAAATGACCTGGATGAGGGCGTAGAAGGATGGGTTAGTAAATTTGCGGATGACACCAAAGTCGGTGGAGTTGTGGATAGTGCAGAAGGATGTTGCAGGTTACAGAGGGACATAGCTAAGCTGCAGAGCTGGGCTGAGGTGGCAAATGGAGTTTAATGCGGAAAAGTGTGAGGTGATTCATTTTGGAAGGAGTAACAGGAATACAGAGTACTGGGCTAATGGTAAGATTCTTGGTAGTGTGGATGAGCAGAGATGTCGTGGTGTCCATATGCATAGATCCCTGAAAGTTGCCATCCAGGTTAATAGGGTTGTTAAGAAGGTGTACGGAGTGTTAGGTTTTATTGGTAGAGGGATTGAGTTTCAGAGCCATGAGGTCATGTTGCAGCTGTACAAAACTCTGGTGCGGCCGCACTTGGAGTATTGCGTACAGTTCTGGTCACTGCATTATAGGAATGATGTGGAAGCATTGGAAAGGGTGCAGAGGAGATTTACCAGGATGTTGCCTGGTATGGAGGGGAAGGTCTTATGAGGAAAGGCTGAGGGACTTGTGGCTGTTTTCGTTACAGAGAAGAAGGTTAAGAGGAGACAGAGACATACAGGACGATCAGAGGATTAGATAGGGTGGACAGTGGGAGCCTTTTTCCTCGGATGGTGGTGGCTAGCACGAGGGGACATCGCTTTAAATGGAGGGGTGATGGATATAGGACAGACATCAGAGGTAGGTTCTTTACTCAGAGAGTAGTAAGGGTGTGGAATGCCCTGCCTGCAAAAGTAGTAGACTTGCCAACTTTAAGGGCATTTAAATGGTCATTGGATAAACATATGGATGATAATGGAATAGTTTAGGTTAGATGGGCTTCAGATTGGTTTCACAGGTCGGCGCAACATCGAGGACCGAAGGGCCTGTACTGCGCTGTAATGTTCTATGTTCTACGTGAAAAGCTTTCATGCACTTCAACTTAGTTTCCTGCATGGCTGATGGAATAATCACTAGGATAGTGTCTTTTGGCTTGTACTTCTCACTAAGCTTTAAGCTTTCTACTCCATAGTTTGGTTATTGGACATCAAAATTCATAAGCAGTTATTGACTTATGACTTAATGGCTGTGTGACTTTGCTGCCTAAGAGGCAAAAGTGCTAGAAATGGAGAATTTTGGCACTGGAGGGCTTTTGGTAGTCTGAGCAGTTTCAGTTTTCTGTCACAACGCTAAACTATTTCTTCCATAAAGTAGCTGCATTAAATTGACTATTGGACTGAAATCTTTGTCAGATTCTGTTTGATTAGGCCCACTTGAGTCCATATATACACAGTGTATTTCTGATGATGTAAGCATTTCAGTGCTTTGCAGAGATCCATTGGGCAAGATAAGCCACTGGCTTGGTCCATGTCCTGATGATGCTTGTGTTTTTGGGACAAATTCTCATTCTCACACTAGGTTTTCCACTAACATCAACTTCCCTCACTGCAGCTTTTATTTGATGAGTTATCAGTTATGTCTTTTAACTGGAACACAGTTTTTGTTTCATTCATTCTTCTTACTGGAGGATCCTTTCCTCTTAACTCATCATGCCAGACGATGACAGTCCCTGCTTTGTGTCAGCATACATTCCATAACCGTGGATTCCTGCACATGGTTGTTAGCAGGGCCTTCAACTACATCTGACTTATTACTTGTGCTTCCACCTTTGCCCCTTCCCATCATTCAGTTGGATTGGGTCACCTTTGTCCTCACTTCTCACCCCACCAGCCTCCACATTCAAAGGGTCATTCTCTGCCATTTCAGAGAACTCCAGCAGAATGCCAACACCAAACACATCTTTCCCTCACAGCCCATCTGCATTTCAGAGATCATTCCCTGACCACCAACACCAGGTTCCCCCTTCCCACAACACCTTCTCGTGCAGAAGGTGCAACACCCGCCCCTTCACCATCTCCCTGCTTGCCACCCAAGGACCTAAACAGTCTTTCCTGGTGAAGCAGCATATCACTTCTACCTCCTCCAATCTTGTGTATTGTATTTGCTGCCCCCTTTGTGGCCTACTCCACATTGGGGAAACCAAGCGCAGACTGGGTGACTGCTTTGCAGAACACCTTTGGTCTGTGTGTAAGCATGACTCCTAACTTCCTGCAGCCAGTCATTTTTAACACAGCATCTTGCTCGCTAGCCCACATGTCTGTCCTCGGCATGCTGCAGTGCTCCAGTGAATCACAGCACAAACTGGAGGAACAACATCTCATCTTCAGACTAGGCACTTTACAATCTTCTGGATTTAATACTGAGATTAACACCTTCAAGACATGAAACAACTCCCATTCCTTCAGCTTTACCTGGTACATTCTGTTATAATGTCCTCTCTCCCCTCCCCACCAACCCCGTGGAACTGTCTGTTCTTTCAAGTCTGACAGTTAGACACCATTGTACTGCCATTCTTACATTTCAAATCACTTAATCTGAACTATCAACATCCTTTCTTCCCAGGACTCGACCTTCCCCCAACTATTGCATAATTGCTGCCTCTCCACATTTCACGTCAGCTCTGGTAAAAGTCATCTAGTCTCAAAATGTTAGCTTGCTCTCTCCACAGATGTTGCCTGACCCACAGTACAGATTCCAACATCTGCAGTAATTTGCTCCCATCTTAAAACACTGTGCATCTTCTTCACATGACAGCCTCTATCTGCTTGATCCCATATACCGAATTAAGATTAGAAGGGAAGCTAAGCAGGTTTTAACAGGGGTGCTGAATGGAGACTGATTACTAAAGCAAGCGTCACATTTCATGGTCTTATGCTGATTATTTTGCAAATACATGATTTTTGACTCCAAGGAACTGGGATTGTCTAATACATCTGTTTAACTCATATGCCATGATCTACATCTGAAGACTTTCCCACAAAGTTTGTTACATGCAAACTACTTACATACAAATGCACCAAGCTAAGAAGCATACATTTGCTCACACTGTACAATACTTTATTTCTTGTACTCAATTGCTATCATCTACTATAATATAGCAAACTGATATTGTTAAGTGAATCATGGGGGAGTGGGAGAATGAGAAACATGTCCTCCTTAGAGACTGTCTTAGTAAGACCAGCAATTTCTTTAAGTCCCATGTGAACTTAAGTATTTTGAGAAAACTAAAGTCTCCAGGATTAGATAGTAGTTTCCATAGAGTGTGAGGGGAATTGAGAATCATTAACAAGTCAATTGATGGTCACCGAGGAATTTCTTGTAAATAGCTAATAATACGCATTTTAAATGTGTTGGTAAAAATGGATAGTGAATTAAATATCTAATTTTAATTGAAATCAGTCATTAGAGAGCTCTTGAAAATTCAGTAAAATGACAAATTAGAAAACAGCAATTAAGCAACTAATTGGGCAGAATTCTACTTGACCAACAATCTTTCTGAAAAGAGACAAGAGGCCTATTGCATTAATCCCTACAGTACCATGTGTGTAAACTTCTAAAAAAAAAGTGTTTGTAAAGGTCGATTTTTTAATAAAAACAGTACTAATTAAGATCAAAGGAATGAATATTCAGGGACAGAACTTGAGTGGATAAGAAATTATTTGAAAGATAACTAAAAGCACAATGCTGTAGAGAGAGGGAGGGTTATTAAGTATATAGACTAAGGCATCTGAGGGCTCATCACTGCAAAGCCGTGGAATCAAAAGAAAGAAGTGTAGCAGGCTAGATAGTGATGGATGTGAAGTACTGTACAGTGGAGAAAAGAGCAACATATACTTTATGGTGCTAAAATAGTTCAGGATGATGAAGTTAAAACAGACTTTCTTGGTGGACTCAGATGCAAAGTACCGAAGAATGACATCAGAATGCTGAGCTCCAAACAGCCAGAACCTAAAACGCAAGCATTCAATGTCTATTTTTCTCACTTACCACAAGATTAAGCATAATGAAGTCTTCTTTTGCCATTTTCTGAATCTCCTTATTCTGAGCAAATGCCTGCTTCAAGGCTGTTAAGAGTTATGGAAAATATTTGAAAGTTGTGCAATACTACTGATCATTTTTGGTTAAGTGATTGTAAATATTCCATACTAAATCTGAGCATTATTGGCAGCTATTTCACTCCAAAGCATGATGAAATACAATCTAGGAAATTAACCTGGTTTTTTGAAGTGATCACTTACCTTGACTGAATTGGCAATCGTCCAAGTGGTGGATAATCATCAAAGGTCGGTTACTGAAATGAAATAAGAATGCCAGATCAGTAAATAAAACATGGAATACCATAATTAATATTTCATTTAAATCCTATGAAAAACACACTTTTAAAGAAAATAAATTTGGGTGAAGGACTGGAATTCATACAACGCATGGTCAGCATTGAAGAGGTTTCTCAAGTTGTTTTCCTATTTAACTTCAAATTCTTGTGTTCAGATGCACTAATCTTATTTCCCATTCAAATGATTTTTGGAAAGCAGCTAGCAATTTGCAATTACATTGTAGGCCATTTAGTTTATCAGTCAGCATATGGACCATTAAGAATTGGACTGGAACTTAAACATTTTCACTTATGGTGACTAGAGAGAAGACAGGTTGGATTTATATCTTTAGCAGGATGCTTTGATTAATGGCAAACCACATTGACTGTGAAGAGCTGTATGTCAGCCTGACTTCCAGAAAAAGAAAGTTTTTGCTGAAGTTCCACATGAAAGACTAGTTGTACTCAAATGTTGTGCTATTTAAGGACAAGCCTTCAAAAATGGATAAGACACTTGCCTGGGGATAAAATATTACGGAATGCTTAATGTTGCTCCAGTACATGACTTACCTAAATAAGAATTATTTAGAAACTCCATGCAAAGAAAGATTAAGTTTGAAAATAATTAAATAGAAGTAACAGAATTGACAATTTGGAAATTACAGAACAGATCAGATGAATATTTAAGTGGTCAGAAAAATTTATGACATAACATTGCATGTTGCAAGAACTACATATAGGAAAGAGATGATCTTTAAGCTGCATAAATTGAAATAGCTAAAGATGTACCTGAAGGAGACTTAGACTTGATGTTAAATATTATTCAACACAGGAAAATAAGTAAACAAAGCTCAATGGAAGGCTGAATGATTAACATAAACCGTAGAATAAGTTTGGAGGGATGACCCTTTAGAACAGAGATGAGGAGGAATTTCTTCAGCCAGTGGGTGATGGATATATGGAACTCATTGTCAAAGAGTTGTGGAGACCAAATTATTGAGTGTATTTAAGGCAGAGAGAGATAGGTTCTTGAATGGCAAGGGGATCAATGGTTATGGGGAGAAGGTCAGAGAATGGGGTTGACTAATGTCAAGCTTGATCGAATGTCAAAAAAGTCTCATTGTACTAAATAGCCTAATTCTGCTCCAATATCTTATTATCCAAGTAACGAGGTAATTGTTAGGCTTTGTGCTTTGGTAAAAATCACATCCCAAGCAGCATGTGAAATTCTGTTCACTAAGACCTTCAACCACTGGATGAAATGCATGGAAAAGATACATGGTGGATCTATAGAATTATTACTGATTATATTAAAACAGGAAAAAAGTGATTGCTTCTATGCTTATTGCTTTAAACAAAAGGAAAAAAAGTCAAGTATTGTATTAATTTGAACAGTGACTTGAGCAGAGGGACACAGATTCAAACAAGTCAATTGTATGACTGACATCATGAAATTCTTATGCACATAAAGAGCAATCAAGAACATCCAAATTAGTGGGGGCTGATGCCCTGGAGTTGTTTAAGAAACAAATCAGTGATACAGTTGGGAGGCCTTCAGATTTATCTGAATGGATGAATCACAATGTGCCTTATGGCCTTCCTCCTTGATGATTACCTGCACTGGACAGGATTGGTACCTGACTAATTAGTCAAAGTCTGACATAGGGTCAACCTCAGACAAATAATATTGGTAGAATCCAACAGTACTTCAGATCTTACTATGGGTTTGGAAAAGTCTATCAAAAAACCATGCTTTGCTCCCCAGTGGTTCTCTCCCCATTAGAGCGCATACTATTTTGTTTCTGTCCTAAAAGGCCAGGTTTATTAAAGGGAAAAATAGATTCCCACCATTGTACTTTAACACAAAAGGAATTCAATATTTTTTGCTCTGCAACCCTCAGGAATGTGTCAGAGCAAGAACAAGCAACATTCCCTTACGGTGTGCATATTTGTAACTGAATGAGCTAAAGGACAGACTGGTGGTGCACAGCAAAGAGAATTCAGATGTAACAATATGGCAAGATCCTCAACTGATTGCTGTAGTCCAACATTTTGCTCAAGATTCATTTGTTATTCAAACACCAGCATGTCCTACATGCTGACAGCATCTAGAAACTACTTGGATGAATGCTATCCTTGTCGAGAATTGCTGCTCATCAGGTTTTGCCTGCCTGTGCTCAAATAAGTTGACTTTGTAAGATAAAGAGAGAGTTCATCTCACTCAAGTATCTGTGGTGCTCCAGACACTTCATTAATGATGCAACAGGTATGCTCCAGGGCCAAAGGTGGATTGTCAAACACTGTAAACATACAGACTGTTGGCAGTCTGTGGTACCACCTATTTTTGATGTCATTGATAGCAATGACTCAAAACCTCTTTCAGGATTTGAGCTGTTGAAACACTCATGAGTGACAGCATGAAAGATTGGCCCTATAAGAAGGAGGGTGTCAGCCAGGAATAAATACTTATTGTTTAGTATGGCTCCTCTGGAGTAGAGGGAGGGTTCTTTTATTTCTGAAATCAAAGCCATGATGATCTGAGTGCACCGTTTGTACACAGACTCCTAATGGGTTTAGTGTGGCAAGAAGCATAGGCAAACAGAGTCCATTTGTCTCTGTGCCATTAATAAGGCGTTACCTATTGCACCCAACTTGAACTAGCTTGTGAAATGAGTAGACATCATGAGCTCAGCCCATGAGGCCTTAGGCATAATGGCCTGAGATAGGTATTTTGGATTTTAACAATCATGTGCACCAAAAAAACCCACATTTGATTAACTGAAATCTTTCATTTACCAAAGTAAAAAACAAACAATTAGAAATATCAAATGTAACAATCCTCACATTCTGATTCCATACTTTGGAAATTCAGTTCTCACTTCAGTAGAATTTTTTTTAAAATTGAAGATGCAGATTAAGTGCACCTATTTCTGGGAGCCTTCCCACAGTATACACCCTTCCCTTCCATGAGAAAATTGACAAATTGCATTCATTCATCCCTCAACACTGCAAGAGAACGAGCCACAGCATTCACGAGTAGCTGTCGCTGACTGAGGAGAGCAAGGGTCTGATATTCCAGGTCGATTATAATCTCAGATCAGTGCGTGTTTGATGAATGTCCCAAATTGTTCACTTCCTGTTTTAAGTACGCCGGGAATCAAGGTATATTGGGTTAGTGAGGGAAAGCCAAGTTGTGGGAAAGTCAGCCATGATCTTATTCAATGACCCAACAAACTTGAAGGGACTAAATGTACTTCTTATATTTTAGGGATTTGGAGCCATTTATATTAACAGACAAAAAAACTGGGGCTCAGGAGAGATTAAATTTAAGAGATATCAATTCATTCAATTTAACAAACTAGTACCTAGCATAAACATACACAATCACCCAGGAGTTCTGTTTTGGGGACTAATGCATATCTATTCATCTTTGTGGCACAGAGATTTCCAACACTTAGAAACAAAATCAAAGCAAAGTACACTTTACTATCCTTCACGTTTTACTTGACCTTCCGGTATCTCTCGGATTAGGTTCTGTTTCTGTATTTCCTTTTTACCATCACCCGCCTTTTTGTCAATGGTGGTGTGTTAGAGAGGCGGGGACGAGACAATGTTTCCTGCCTTAGTAATAATCTCTACAAATAGTGGGCTGTTGGAATATGTGCGTACTTCTTGAATAGCCCTTTGCTTTCCTCGATATATAACACGTTTTTTTTTCCTCTTACGTCCTGTCGCCTCACCTCACTGCTTTTTAAACACGTTTTCTTCTAATAACCCCTTCTGAGTACACTGCTGTTTTCATTAACCACCCCAAGCTTGCAGTTTCACTTCTCCTCGGGCACTGCAGTTTGACACTTGATCAGTCATTTCGGAAGTTGTTCCACATCTACCAGCTAATGTTAATTGTATATACGCGAGTTTCCTATAGGAATATCCAAACATCCGAAAGAGTGAAGGTGCACAGGCGCAGACCGAGACACTAGAGAGCGCTTTCAGTTAGAGGTTACCTCTTTCTTGATTTGTATAGTCCTTCCTCGTAGGTCTGAACCCAATTAATTTCGTCGCCCCATCCTAAAATGGAACAAAAATGCACAAAGTTAAGCAAACTGAGCAGGTCGAAAGCACACTCGTAAAGCCCCACCCTACTCGCTTGTAGCGATTGCTTACCTCTGGATAAACTGGGAGGGCATTTCTTCTCGCCTGCACTCTCGCTTTTTGACTGAGGGCTGACAGTCTTCTGGGATGGACCTCTGGCCAGAGAACTTGAGACAGCCGCCAGCAACACTAGCAGGGACAGCGAAAGTGCAGCCATTCTTGGTGGGGGATTCCGATTACTGGAAACACAGAATGAGCTAAATGTTACCTATGTACGCACGACCGAGTAATTGCCCAGAGAGAGAGAGAGAGCGAGCGAGTTTTAGGAACTGTTTCAGATTGCCAAAAGTGATTTCACTTCCTCGGTGAGAATCAAATATTACATCCTTTACTTACCTGCGCCAGGTAACAATGAATCCGAGCTGCGTGCTGCTAAGACTGAGCTGCGATTCGAGAGGTGTTGTGCTCCCAAATATATACCCGATCATTGCTACCCCATTGGTCACCATCCCTTCCTCGCCCTCCCCTACTTGGGAAAGCAGGAAGAATAGACTTAGATTATTTATCTTTTCTTCTGTAAGTAAAAATGATCCTTTTAGAACTTGTTGAGCTCAGAACGTTCACAATAAAGTTTCTTAGGTGCAATTTTGCAATATTAGATAGATATAGCGAACTATTTAGAAAATGTGACATCTTTTCAAACCATTGAGTAATTCAAATCAGTATCTGTTGATTTCTCTGAAAGCTGACTGGTCTCTCTACTATTGGTTGAAAGTTTTGCACAGCATGGTAGTTTTTTTAAATTATATGACAATTGACTACTGTGCTGATTCATAACTTTAGATCTGATTTGTATGTGTTGTGGCAACACCCCAATGTTGCCTCTGCAACATTTGTGGATTCCAATACATTGTATTAATGAAAATCGAATTCATATGACAAATGCAACATATTGTTTCAAAATGAAATGTTTCTAAAATTAAGTACAATTCTATTTTCACTTAATAGCTTGTAAAGTCAACAATAAGCATTCATCAAACACTTCACTCACTTCAAACACTAAGTAGTACATCTTCTTGGTGAAACAGACATTGTAGTCAATGAGAATAAGTTCTTGTTTGTGTTGAATTTGGGACCATTGAAGGATTGGGTTTTACACTCTGGTTATCCTGTTTTGCCTACCTGCTTTTATATACTTCAAGTAATTACCCTTTATAGTACTGTAGTCTATTTAGCAAAGGCTATTGTTACTGATGAAGGTCTTGTGGCACAGTGTGTACCATCATCGAGCCTGAATTTCTGTCTTCAAGTCCCACCCAGGACTTAACTGCCAAGCAAGGTGCATTCATACTTTGACAAAATAATTGATTATGAAGCTACAAATCATTCCAGTACATACCAATGGCAAGAGGTAAGAACAGGAGTGATTACTGGTCATCCATATATGGGTAGAAAGTTGAAGATTCTACAATCACTATCCATAGCAGACTACAACATGCTTGTAAAATGTGCATGCTTCCACTGCTTGAATGATCTATTATGCCCACTTGCATATGCAGTTCATTCCTGATGCAACATTTCACACTCTGATATCTTTGCTTTAAAAATACCTTTAAGCTAGCCTCTTAGGATATGTTTTGTGATTGTGACCCCTCAATATAACCCTAATATTTCATTTGTCTTTGTTTTTAATTTGTCCACCTGCTTTGTAAAGATTTTATCTAACTCAACAAAGTAGGTGACATCCATTCATTGCTTCATTTTTTAGGACAATGCCCTGACCAATCAGAGTCAACCTTTCCGATTTGAAATTTAAATAAACCCAGGCAGTTAATTGTTAATCTACATTAATGGGTGCATTCTCCATGATAAACTCTCTCCAAATCAAAGTTCACTTCCCAACCAATCAGCACCCTCATCTCATGCAGCATAAATGTTGATTTTCCCTGTGAATTCATATTCTTGTGAATTGTCCTGATGCATGCAAGATGAAAAATTTCAACAAAATGTGACCTTTTACAGCTATCTTCATAAATTTTAACTGTGCATCAAGATCCCTATGCTCCTGCACTACATTTGGAAATGTACCATTTGAGGTATATTTCTGATCTTGGTATACATTGCAAATATATATGATCTCTAAAATGGATTTACCACTCACCTGTCCCTTGCCCTACCTGTTTCTACTCTCTTTGCAATTTTGAAGTAAGAGCCAACTTTATCTGTGTCCAGATCATGTTCTTATATTAAAAATAAAAGTGGTCAGAGTAATGCTTCATATTGTGTTGTTTTTATTTTGCTCTTTCATATTGAACGCAATTTTCTTTCACAATTTTCTTCTCATCTGAAAGCCTTCTGCCTTGATTCTATCCTAAAAAAAAGTACCACTTAGCCAAAACCCTGTTCAGTGCTCAACAATGTTTTCTGGTTCCAACTTATATTTTCCATCTCTTTAAGATCCATAAATGTACAATGCCTTTTTCAGAACTCTCTGGTTTTCTGACTCTGGTCTTCTCTGCATCACCAACCTAAATCCTCCCCACTCTAACTCCCTGTCCTCCTTGAAGGACCTAGTTAATACCCACTTTTTTGGATTAGTATTCGATCTTTATTGTGCTTCTTGAAATGTCTTTGGACAACTTAACCTTCGTGGTAGATATTACATAAATTCGCTAAATTTGCTCTTCCTGCTTGTTCCAAGTCGATAATGAACCAAAGTGAAGAGAGCAACCTTTATCACAGAAGACCATGCAATCCAGTCTTCCTTTTGCTAAACATGAACATATTCTGACATACAAAGGCATGGTTAGCGTTTCTATGGTTTAAGAAATGATATGACCTCTTCCTGCTCTGGTAACTAACGGGAAAGGTTCTTAACTGTATTATCTATAAAGACTTGTACTTTAAAGGAGCCTGCCCACCACCATGGAGCTTAACATGCTCGTGTTAAAATGACTCCTCTGGCTTTAGGTGTTGTTTCCTGGAGAACACATGGCTGTGAGAACTGATGGATGCTGGAAATCATGGCTGGTCTTTTCTTGTTTATTATTGTTTATATAGTTGCATTACTCTGTGCAAGAGCTGAGCTAAATTGTCACATTGTCATTAAGTGATCATATGAATATCATGATATTTCTGTTACCATAAATGGATGAGAGAGTTTAGAATTCATCATTAAATTTAGGGAAAGAAACAACAAGGCAGAGATAATGAAATTTATAAAGCAAATGGTTTGTGACATAACAAGGAATTTGGTACTGAAAATCTATGAATAGGTATGACTTGACAAGCAGTTGACCTATTTGGAACCAAGTCATTGACCACAATCACATTCTGGGGTCTGATGGGGGTGCTATGGTTTGTTTGCCAGTATTCAGTGTATCATTACAAGGGTGCCAGAAAGGCTGACAAACAAAGGCAGCCACATAGCTCATTTGATTCCAAAGAAACAATCTACAGCTTCATACATGGTGAGTGCTTTGAATCTAGAAACAGAAAAAAAACTTTTATTTCCCCTTTGATTGGACCACGTCCCTCAACTATACCTTCAGAACATTTTGTAACTGTCAGTGTGTGGAGGTAACACAGTGTGGAGCTGGAAGATCACAGCAGGCCAGGCAGCATCAGAGGAGCAGGAAAGCTGACGTTTCGGGTTGGGACCCTTCTTCAGAAATGGGGAGGGGGAAGGGAGCTCTGAAATAAATAGAGAGGGGGATGGGGCTGGGGAAGGTAGGTGGGATGGTGATAGGTGAGTGCAGGTAGGTAGTGGTGGGGATTGGTCAGTGAGGTGGGAGGAGCAGATAGATGGGAGAGAAGACGGACAGGTCAAGGAGGTGGGGATGAGAGGGAGGGTTGGTCATGGGATGAGGCCAGGGGTGGGGAGATTTTGAAGCTAGTATAGTCCACATTGAGACCATTGGGTTGTAGGCTCCCAAGGCGGAATATAGGTGCTGTTCCTCCAGTTTCCGGGTGGCATCATTGTGACACTGGAGGAGGCCCAGGATGGACATGTCGCCCAGGGAGTGGGAGGGGGAGTTGAAGTGGTTCGCGACTGGAAGGTGCTGTTGTTTGTTGTGAACCGAGCGCAGGTGCTCTACAAAGCGGACTCTGAGCCTCCGCTTGGTCTCACCAATGTAGAGGAGGCCACGTCGGGAGCAGTGGATACAATAGACCACACTGGCGGATGTGCAGGTGAACATCTGTCTGATGTGGAAGGTTTTTTTGGGTCCTTGGATGGAGGCGACCAGGGAGGTATAGGGGCAGGTGTAGCACTTTCTGCGGTTGCAGGGAAAGGTGCCGGGGCTAGTGGGGAGTGTGGAGCGGATGAGGGAGTCGCGGAGAGCGCGGTCCCTACGGAAGGCAGATAGGGTTAGGGAGGGAAGTATATCCTTGGTCGTGGGATCGGATTGTAGGTGGCGGAAGCGGCGGAGAATGATGTGTTGAACCTGGAGGTTAGTGAGGTGATACATGAAGACAAGGGGGATTCTGTCTTTGTTTTTATTGCGGGGAGCGGGTGTGAGGGCAGAGGTGCGGGAAATGCAGGAGATGCGGTCGAGAGAGTTTTCGACCACTGAAGGGGGCAAGTTGCTGTCCTTGAAATACGAGGACATCTGGAAACTGGAGGAGCAGCACCTCATATTCCGCCTTGGGAGCCTCCAACCCAATGGTCTCAATACGAGGACTACCTCGTCCTCTCCACACTCCCCACCAGCCCCACCACCTCTGGCACCTTTCTCTGCAACCGCAGGAAGTGTTACACCTTCCCCTACACCTCCTCCCTCACGTCCATCCCAGGCCCCAAAAAAACCTTCCACATCAGACAGATGTTCACCTGCACATCCGCTAATGTGGTCTATTGCATCCGCTGTTCCCGATGTGGCCTCTTCTACATCGGTGAGACCAAGCGGAGGCTTGGAGTCAGTTTGTAGAGCACTGAAATGGTTTGCGACTGGAAGGTGTTGTCACTTGTCGCAAACCATTTCAACTCACCCTCCCACTCCCTGGACGACATGTCCATCCTGGGCTCCTCCCGTATCACAATGACGCCACCCGGAAACTGGAGGGGCAGTACCTCATATTCCGCCTTGGGAGCCTCCAACCCAATGGTCTCAATGTGGACACTACTAGCTTCAAAATCTCCCCACCCCCGGCCTCATCCCATGACCAACTCTCCCTCTCATCCCCGCCTCCTTGACCTGTCCGTCTTCTCCCACCTCACTGACGAATCCCCACCACTGCCTACCTGCACTGACCTATCACCATCCCACCTACCTTCCCCAGCCCCACCCCTCCTCTCTCTATTTATTTCAGAGCTCCCTTCCCCCTCCCCCATTTCTGAAGAAGGGTCCTGACCCGAAACGTCAGCTTTCCTGCTCCTCTGATGCTGCCTGGCCTGCTGTGTTCATCCAGTTCGACACTGTGTTATCTCTGACTCCAGCATCGGCAGTTCTTACTATCTCTGAGTGTGTGGAGGTACACCTGACGAGACCATTTGGACTTCTACTGACCAAAACCCAGCTCATAA